ACCACATGCCCCCAGAAGCAGTGCAGAATTGCTATCCCAAACAGGCTGGGCTTCATGGGGACGCCACATGCTCAGGAGGGCCCCTCCCTTGGTTTAATGCTCTGCTGTTGCCATTGGGAAGTTCTTAAATTGTAAACTTGAGGAGCCTGAGTCTGAGTTTTTATTTTACACTGCACCCTGCAACTTATGTAGCTGTTCCTAAGCCCAGGCCTAGCCAGAAGTTGCATCAGCAGGATAGTTGCTCCAACAGGTGTAGACACTCTTACCTGTTACTCAGATGTCACTCACCAAGGTTGGCTTCTGTCCTGCTGAGACCAGAACAGCATTCCCTTTCTTTGCTCCGCTCATCTCCCAGGATGTTCTGTCCCTCTTTGTTACTGCCCAGGCTTCTTCCAAGTCTATTGCATGGCAGTGGGGCAGGAGGAGGCCGCAGCATCCCTCATCTTCTGCTCTCCCTCTGTTTCCCTTATCTGGGTGGTAGTCAGTGGGCACTCCAGGTGGGATCTGAGCCTCTTCCACTCTGGAGATCTGCTTCCCCCCTTGTAAACCATGGTTATCCATGGCACCTGTTTCCTGTGCTGTTGGTTTGGGAACAGGTTGTTCTAGGTCTGGGTAGGTGCAGGAATGGGGACATGGAGGCACAGGGAAGCATGCATCCTAAGCCTGCTGCTCGTCCTGGGGGCATCTCTTGTCTGGTCCCCCTCCAAACCGGTTTCTTGCCCACTGGACCTGCAGCACTGCTGGGAGCCTCCCTTTCTTCTTCCTCCCTTCACCATCAGCAAGAGATTGGCCAGTCCTAGAAGAAAAGGGAAGGCAGGAAGAAGGAGCAGGTCCCCATGTTTCTAGACTGCCCCATTCCTTGCTGTCACAGCTCTCCCCATATACAGCCTTTTCCCAGAGGTCTGTGCCCAGTAGGGCTGTGAGTCACAATCCTTTCAAACCCCGGAGAGGAGTCTTAGTGCATGGGAATTAAAAACCAGTGGACTATTCAAATTCATTTTGGTTGGACTTCGGCATGTACCATTTGATTTTTAATTTTTAACTTTTTGTTGTTGGTAGTAGCAAATTTTTTTATTCGTTTTGATATTGCTTAAGACTATAAAAGACTTTGCATTTCCTGAGGACACTGAGCATATATCAGCTGCTGGAAGGATAAACTGGTTTGGCTCATAGAATCTAAAAAGTATTGCAATGGGAATTTGGTTTAGACAGCTCCTAGATCAGCTCTGTCTAGTAGAATATTCCATGATGAGCCCAGTGTGGTGGTGCATGCCTGTAATCCCAGCACTCCGGAGGCTGGGGCAAGAGGATTGGTGCAAGTTCAAGTCCAGCCTGGGCTACATGGTGAGACCTTGTCTCAAAAAAACAAGACAAAATTCCACAATGATGGGATGTTCTATGACAGTTCCATCCAACTTGGTAGCCACTGAGCTTCAGTGAAATGTAGCTGACATGACTGAGGACCAAAAATTTTAAATTTATTTAATTTTAATTAAACCTTGGATGGCCACATGTGACTAATGGCCATTAAATTGGATATTACATATTTGGGGTAGTGGTACTTATTTTATTAATGAGTATAACATCAGCCACTTACTGAGAAATTACTGTGTGCCAAGAATGTTTTAAAACTGTGATCTTAACCTTCCAAGCAATCCTGGTATTACTCCAAAGCCCACAGACATAGGGTGACTCGGTCTTGGTCACTAATGCTCCTTCCTACTGCTGGTCTTGCCCCTTTCTTTAGGGACATTCCCCACGCTGTTGTTTGCCATCGTGTGACAGCTTTCTTCACAAGTTCTCCAGGTCTCTTCCATACCTCACTCTTCCTCTCTGTGATGTCAGGATAGCTCACCGAGGACTGTCTCCCCCATAGAGAGGGAAGATCCTCTGGCTTTCTTGCACAGGGTCATTTCCTGGGTGGTTCCATGGGTAACCTTTGTTCCTCAGCACCCTTTGAAGCCTCCCTATAGCAGACAGTGATCTGGGGAGTTTCCTCTGCCCTCAGAGCCCTTGGCATGCTCTTCACTACATGGGAAGTTCTAGACTCTTTACTCCTGGCAAAAAGAGGTTCAGAGATTCCTGACATCCACCTATGTCCTGACTTGCACCATAACTCCCAGGCTCAAGTGGAAGACCAGCTAAGCCTTCCCAGGCTGAGGCAGACTGGGTCTTCCTGGGCAGATGAGGATCAACACTAAACCTTAGCTTCGCCATCATCCCACCTGCCTTGCCACTCCAGCTCCCCATGCAGCACCCCCGGGTGGGAGCCCCTCTCCTCCAGGAGCAGTTGTCCCACTCCTGCTGGCTGCTCCAGGTGATTTACTGCTTTCCTCTTCCCCAGAAAAAGCCTCTTCTTTGTTAGACTCTCATGAGAGTCTGACTTGCGTGTAGCGGGAGAAAGGAGCGGATAGAAATAGCCCACCATGCCCATCCCTGGTGAGAGGGACTGATGCTGAGCTCTGAGCTCTCCTGCCTCCAGAACAGCCCCCTGGTTCTAGAATGGCTCCATCAAAGAGCAATTCAGTTCTGTGTACAAGGTGAGGATCCAGCACAGCTATAATGAAGGCCCAGGCAGTGGGTGGTATGTAGGGGGCTGCTCTCCCAGACCACCACACCCAGGCACCTATTATTGCACTGTGTTTATGGGGAACCCCCAGCCCACAACACACACAGTGTCCAGACCTAGTCCTTCTCCCCTGTTACTGGGGAGAAGGTTTGATACTTCCATGACCACATGCTTGGAAGGGGCCATTTTCTGCGGAAGCATGAAGCTTCCCCTTTCTTGGAGATGAAGGATTTGGGTCAGGTGAACAGTCAGAACTGGGGAACCCTAAGGAGACAGGAACTTTGCCTTATTTCTCTTATCACTATAGCTAGGGCAGTAACACCCCTCCCCACCATAGGCCTTTCTTGCTTACCTCCCAGTGTAAGGGACAGACATTGCCTTTCTTTCTCTGTTGTCTGATCTGGTGGGAAGTTTGTGTTGTCTACTGAACAGTGCATCCCTTAGTACCATTGTTTCATTATTAAAATGAGGAACCGCAGGCAGAACAGCTTGACTCTCTCAAATTGCTGGATCAGGAACTAGAAGGCATTGGTAGCTTTTGAGGATGTGGAGGGAGCACTATTGCTCAGATTCATTACTCTCCAAACACTCAGTTTGTAAAATTCCTTCCCTTGGAGTGGGCTGGGTGGGGTCCCTGCTCTCTGTGGACACCAGGACCAGATCTGCTAACTTAGGAATGAGGAGAGATGGTTTCAGTGACCTCCCGCAGACCCAGAAGTAGACAGCTGGGCCTCCTCAGCCTCTCAAGGGCAGGGGTTTGTGATTCAACCCGGAGCTGGGGGAGGAGGCAGTTAATGACTGCTCTGCCCCAGCACCCTTGGGACCCTTCCCCTGCACCTTGGAGGCTAGGCGAGGGAAGGGGCTGGAGCCCTGTTTTTTGTGTCTCCATCTGGCTCAGGCACTCTGGGGCTACCAAGGGGAGGAAAATGTAGAGCTGGCTGGGGCAGTGTCACCTCTCCCTTCAGCAGGAAAAAAAATGAGCTCTCAGCATGAGGAGGTGAGCAGCTCCAGAGCCAGCTCCCCTCAGTTCTCCATGCTGCGCCACAGCAGGGGGGGCATGCCCCCTATCCTGCTGGAGACAAGCCCTGGGTCATCACAGGATAGCAGTTCTGCGGAGGACTGTAGAGGACTCAGTGTTCAGGCAGTTAAAATCAGACCACTCCCTCGGGATTGGTGTTCAGTAATTTATCAGCCAGGAAGGACACTGGCCTGGCGTTCTGATGGGTCCTGTGGCTCACACTGAACCCCTTAGTCTGGGGGTCACAAAAGGTAGCAATGTTGTGGGCACTGGCCAGAGAGGCAGGGCAGGGCAGCTCTTGACCAGCCAACGGGGAAGAACTGCAATGTCTTAATAACTGGCATGACGATACTGTCTGTCTGTCTTAGTTATCATTGTTTTTTGGAAGACAAATGGAATTCCATTTGTAGAATGATTAGCTTAAAGATAAGATAATTTGAAGTAGGACAGAAGATTAGCAGGGAGGTCCCTGAATGCCATACTTATTCTGTGTCACTAACACTTACACCTGTGTGTGGTTTTTCATTTGAGTAGGAGACCAGTGCCCTCACTGAAGAGCACACAGTATCGTCCTGCCCTTACCCTGAACATGGGATTTTTCATCTTCTATTATAGCAATAGACCATGGAGAGCTTGGTGTGGTGGCACACACCTGTGATCCCAGCTACTCAGCAGGTGAGGCCAGAGGATTACAAATTCCAGGCCAGTCTGGCCAACTTGGCAACCCCATATCAAAATAAAATAATAAAATAAAAAGGGCTGCAGATGTAGCTCAGTGGTAGAGCACTTGCTCAGTGGTAGAGCATTTGCCTGACATGCAGGGGCTCTGATTTCAGTCCATAGTAGAAAGACAAGGAGAGACAGAGACAGAGAAACAGAAAAATAGGCAGAGACAGACAGACAGACAGACACATACACACACACCATGGAAACCCGGAAACCCAGAACCCCAAAGCAGTGGGTACCAGTACAGTGTGAGACGGGGAAAGGGCAGCTGCATGGGCTGGAAAGAAGGAAACTTGGGCAGCCCCTGATGGTGATCCCTCTCCCTGCCCACAGCGGTAGCACTCTTTGCTGTCTGAGGTAACCCTGAGCTCACGTGGATGTCCCTGGCATTTATAGCACATGAAGGTGAGGGCTGTGAGGATGGGCATAGCTGAACAGGAGAGGGGGCAGCCCAGGTCTTGTATCCTGGACACTCAGCCCTTTGGCCTACACTTTATGGTGTTCCCAACTTACCTGGGGGAGCGCACCTTATTCCTGCCATTTTGGAAGTAACTATAGCATCAAAGGAAGGGATGGGGCCAAGGCAGAGAAGAAAGGAGAGCAACTACCAGAGAGTGGCTGGCAGCTGGGCCCTGCACCTGTGGAGCTGATGTTTTGTTCTGTAGATCACACAGAGAGGAGAGGCTGTGTGTGTGTGCGTGTGTGTTTGCGCTCTTTCCCATCTGCAGATACCTACAGGTGCTGCCATAGCCGTAGCCCCTCTCACCTCTTCTTTTTGTGGCAGCCATTGGTGGGAAAGCAGAGAGGTTTCAAGGGGGGAAGTTGGCTGGAAAAATGTATTTTCCCCCAGAAATGGCTGGGGGAGAAGCTCTGGGAATGAGATACATCAAGAGGTTGCAGGTGTAAACCTAGCTAGTTTTTAATTGGGATAGAATTCTGGAGCAGATAAGTCTCCCTGATAATAGTGATGAGATCCAGAGGAAGAGGTGGGGAGCAGGAGGCTGCAGAGCCCTTCCCTGAGCGGGGCCGGTCTTGGCTGCAGGGAGAAGGGAAGACGTGGGAGGAATGAGCTGCCATCAGCCCCCACCCCCACTCACCCTGCAGTTCTCACTCCACCTAATGAGCTGTAATGCCAGAAGCCAGGGTGTCCTCAGGATGGGGAAGCCAGGCCAGGGCTAATTCCCTGTCAGCAGATTCTCAGGAGCTATGGAAATGAAGCAGCTTGGTACAGGGCAGATAACCAGGAGGAGCCTAGAGGGTGGAAACAGTACAGAATATTTCTCTAGTTATTTAATATTTATCACAGTCAGGGCCCTGGGCATTCAGCCTGGGTGTGTGTGTGTGTACATGTGTGCAAACAGGCATGCCTGCAAAAGGTCATGTAGACTCCAGCTGGCTTTGCTGTTTTTAACTGTATAGTTCCAGGTCCACCACATGTGGATGGTGAGGATGTCTTGAGCTGTAGGAAAGCCCAATGTGGTGGAGAGACTGAGGCCGGGAGAGTGGAGCATCTCTGTCTCTTTTCTTGGTAATGGATTGGTCTTCGCATTTCTGGAATGCCTCTTCCCAGCCCCCAGCCCCCACCCCAAACACAATGGTCTTAAACCTGTGTTTTTCACACTGTAGCCCCTGCGTCTGGTATATTTCATCATTTGTTTTTAAGCAGAATGATCATGGCCATTTTATCTTACGCATGAGACATTTCACATTTTAAAAGTTTGCAGCCATTATTTCATAGAATTAGAAGGTCCCTCATTTGCACATGAGAACACTCAGGGCCAAAGGATTGAGGTCACACTGCTAATTCATGCTGGATCTCCCGCTGGAAGATTGGTCCTGCCAAGTTCTCTCCGCACTGATGACACTGCTGCCAGGGCCACCTCGTAGGCCCAGTGGATAAATGACCACTGCTGGGTGACCTCCAAGCTTAAGGATGGTCCAGCCCCCACCACAAAGTCTCCTGCCTAAGCTTTTCCTTTTTCTTGCATAGAATTTGAGAGGTCTGCTTGGGTTGGAATTTATAACCTTTTGTCCTTGAGAAGTGGAAACCTTTTGATATCCCTGAAGGGAGGGAAGAGGAATGAGAAAACAGATTGTCCATGTTTATTTCCCTTTATAATATTCTCCACCTGGTAAGTTCTTCTTGCCATCTAACCTACAATGAAAATCTGTCACACTGCACAGTTTAGTGGTGAAGGAGAAGAACCCTAGCCAAGTAGGCAGTCTGGTGTTGGCCTAACCCTGAGGATTTCAGAGCTCTCTCTGAGCAGGGGAAGCTGCTGAGCCTCCGTTCCTCCTACTCCCTGGTGCTGTCTGCCCTGGGCACAGGAGAAGTAATTTAACTTGCAACTTAAGCAAAGGCTGTGGGAGGTCCCTGGGCTCAACTTGAAGAGAAAGGGGATATTTTTGCTTCCTCGAGGAAGAAAACTCATTTCCCAACTGCACCCCCGCCTACTCCTCCTCCCGTGCAGAGGAGCTTAATTTTCTTCCCTTCCTAATGAAGATGGATCAAAGCCAAGCTATATATTCAGGGGGGAGCCAAGCAGGGAAGCCGAGTGAGGGGGCCAGAGGGCAGAAACAGAGCTTGGTTCATGGAGAGGAAGTAATTAATTTTAAGAGCGAGCTAAGATAGGGAAGCTCTTGATAATAGAATATCAAACTCCAGATGCAGGTGGCTAAAAATTAAATCAGAGCATGGAGGCTTTTTTTTATTCATGCATTCACCCATCCAATATTTCTTGAGCACCTACTGTACACAGGCAGGGACCTCACTCAGGAGGGCCTGCAGTCTGTAACCATAGCAGAGCACTAAAGACAGAAAGAGAGTGTGATCGGAAAATGGAGGCTTCCTGTCACCAGGATAAATCATTTGCAAGAGTCCTACTAAATGGCTGAATATATTGACCTTTTGGATTTAGGATTAGCTGTTTAAATATCAGCAGCTGTTGGCCCCAGTTATCGCCAACCAGCTTGTCCCTTGTGGGTTAAATAATAATATTGTCCATTTGCTCTTCTATACACTGATTACATTGTTCCCTGACCAAGTTCTGCCCTTAATTCAGAAAATTTGATTAGCCCCTCCCTTTCATTGTCTGTTGTGATATCACAGAATTACTGTGGCAACAGACTATGATGTCAACAGCTTGCCTGCTGCTGCTAAAAAGAACCACACTGGTCAGAAAGGGATCTGTCATGTGAAGACAAAATGGAATGACATAGAAAGCCGGAGGAACTGAAATGTGATATCAAAAAAAAAAAAAAAAAAAGAATATCTTGGCAGTGTAAGATAACAGGGGGCCTTGGAGCCTCCTTTGCTAGAACCCTTTAAAATCAGTGAGGCAGTTTTGAGGACCGACTAGGGAGCAGACTTGCCTAGTGGGAGGGGAACGGGACAGGTGACCTTCAGAAGGCCTTGCAGTTCAAGGATCCTAAAGACGTGGAGGACATTAAGGAAGGGAGAGATTGGACAGGCTCTGGGCTCTGGAGAATTTAAAGGAATTAACACTGATGCAGACTCCTTGCTCCTGAGCAGATCTGACAGTTACCAGCTGGAATTTATCATCTTGCATCTGGAAGATTTGCGGCAATAAACACACAGTGACCCCCTCACAAGCCCCATTTGCTCCCCTCTGCCTCACAAGGCTGGGAGAAAGCTTTCCTTCCATTTCACCCAAGCAAAAGAGCTTCTTCTTCACCATCTATTCTGATGCTACAACATCCACGCCCGTCCACGCTCTGCCTCCACCGTGTCCAGCTCTCTACCAGCGGGACCACTGTATGCAGAGGGCAAGCGAGCTGCTGCCCGGTCTGAGGGGAGGGTGGCAGGGGGCTGATCGCCAAGATGCCTCATGCATTATGCTCCTGTCTGTACAGAAGGCTGGGCAGGCTGAGAGACGAGAAAGGAGACTTCCTTAATTAATCTCATCTTCTCGGCAGTGGCAGCAATAACAGCACATGAACCCGGAGCCTCCTTTAACCCTTGTGCCCACAGGCTCTGAAGGGTCTCTGAAAAGCAAGTTGGCTTTTAGCTCCAGAGCCAGTGTCTGGCATTGGCAGCCTGGGAGGCAGGAGTACCGTCTCCCTGCGGGTCGGGCTGGCAGGAGTTCCTGCCGTGCAGATGGGAATGCAGCCCCGTGCTCCTCCGCCCGCCCAGCTACTCTGTGTCCTTAGCTCAGTGAGGTCGGACTACCTGGAAGTGGCACACCTGCTCTGTGCATGCCTGTCTCTTCTCTTCTGCATTTTCTCCTTGGGAGTACGAACCAGGAGGATGCCGTGCCCTCCTTGCTTATTCTGCCTCCAGTCGTCTGACCGGGTAGCATTCTGGCTGAGAGCTAGGATGCCACAGGCCCAATAGGGCACCCGGATGACCCTTACCACCACCCAGCAGGAGCCCCCTCCCTGTTCTCCACTGCCAGAGCCAGGAAGAGGAGGCAGCTGCAGAGTCTCCCTGCCATCACTCGCCTGCATCTCTGCCACAGCATTTAGGGTTGGACCGGAGGACTTACTTCTCAGAGGGATGGTAGCAGCTGGGTGGCTGGTGGGTCCTGTGAGGCTGCCGAACTGGGGAGCAAGCTGCCAAAAAGATGTTGAAGTTTCGGGCTGATCGACGGGTCAGGTAGGGATTCCTTGCACAGACTGGAAATCAGAGCAGGCCGAGCTGGCCCCTCATCCCATTCGGATCTGGGGACTTTTCGGTGAGGGGTCTGCTGGAACTGACCTGGGAGGAAAGTGTAGTTAGGTCAATGGCTGCTGCATTGCAGTGTCTGGGAAGGGGAAGCTATTTTGAAATTGGTAGCGCCGGGATGGAAGGAGGACGTCATTTGTAGGGGTTGCTGGGTAGGAGACTGGGGCAGGGAGTAGACTCACGATGGCTGACGGCAGATTGTATGCATGGCTCTCTGTGTGTCTGCGTGTACCGGCTTCTGTGGAAGGCTCCTAGCAGTGCAGAGGGGTCTGGAGGGGTAGGGCAGGGTGGGACAGGGGCAGGTGTTCCAAGCCTGCAGGCAAATGCAAAGACCTCAGCACCTCAAAGAGTTTAGTTGCCACAAACTACCTGTCCACCAGACCTCTAGGGGAGCAGAGCCAGAGCCAAGGGTAACTGGAAACAAATACCTTTCCTCAGTCTCTGTGATTAAATTAAGAAGAGCATCCTTATTTGGAGGCAGGTGGAACTGTAGTTTGGGAAGTGGGGAGTGGATTGTCAGTATGCTAAAGTCAGACCCCAGGTCCGACGAATGCCGGTCAATTTCAGGTCCTGGCTACCAAGCCCAGGCTGCACACTCCAGATTTCCACCCGGGCTGCAGCCACTGCCTGCTGCGTTTCTGTCCCCTGTGTCTTTGGATCAGATCTGACCAGAACTGGTTTGGAAGCAGAAAAAAAATACCCTTTGATATTATCTTTAGCTCCAACAGACAGCTTGAGGGCTGGCATGTGGCCTGGGCTATTGAAAGAAAGTGTCCAGAAGGTTAATTTCACATCTCTCCTGTGGCAGAAGGGACCAAGCTAAAATCTTTCTCTGGTGGGCCTGTGGGGGGTTGAGCAGAGAGCTGGCTCTTTGCTGTGGGTGCTTAAGTGGCCCGTCTCAGCCATACCTGTGCCCCTGCTTGCTCTTAGGCTCAACTGGAGCCTGCCCTGGGCTCTCACTGTATTTCTCAAGAAGGGTGGGAGACAAGGATCTTGGAACTCATCTAGCCCCCACCCCCATGGACCGGACGCTTGAATCTCCTACGCTCTTGCCAGGCAGTCCTTACTCACAGAACCTCTCACAGGGCTGTGCTTTGTGCCTTAGACCCACTGTTCCAGCTCTCTCCCATGTCCCCCTCCTGAGAGTCCACCAGGGAACTAGCCTGACATTCAGCAGCCAGAAGAGCCTCAGCAGGATTCCTCAAAGAAACCTCCATGTCTGACTTCCCATCTGCCCTGGTGTCCCCCTCCCCTGGTTCCTGCTCCCTCCCGCTTCCGGGCAGGCTGTCCTCATAACACCCCACCCACTGCTGGCCACAGCAAGCCTTAATTACATCTGACTGTTCAGCAAGCCTGACCTTGATGCCTGACAGCTCCCAAGGTCTCTGTGACATCGAGACAGAAGACCCCAGCCTGGGAGTGTGGCTGAGTCCCAGCCCAAGCTCAAGGGTACCACCTCTGAATCTTGCATTTCATTTAAAGAAGGAAATAAAGCATAAAGCAGGAGAGGCAGAGTCCAAGGTCAACAAGAGAGTTCTTTCAGCAAATAATGAGGGAGCATTTTTTATGTGGAGCTCTGGCAGACGCTGTCACCCGCAAGCTGTCACGCATGAAACCTTGACTGTGTTGAACTTGCAGTTAGAAGAACCTACTCCACCCTCCCACCCATACCTGAGGTGACCACTAACCCAGTAGTTAGTGGATATTTGAGCCTCGGATGTCTAGTAAGTGTTAACACTGACTTTGATAAAAGGGGACCGGGTGTCATTTATTCTTCCCCAAGCCTGCCTGCAGCTTCTCCTGCTGTGGCCTAATTCTCCTCCTTGTCCCCACCAGAGGACATGCTCACCAGTTCCTGTCCCTGCCCAGGGTCTGACTTCCCTTTAGATTGTGTGTCTGCCTTCTACATCATTACCACAACTTCTTTTCCCTCTACAGCCACAATGAAAGACAGAACACCTTTCGGCACCCAGTGACTGGCCAGGTCCCAGAGGAAAACAAAAAATTTGACTTAAAAACGTAAGTATGCTAAGTATTCACCTGGCTGTTTTGTGTTTCTGTCCTTCACCACCACCATCCCATTGCCACTGTGGGGATGGGATGGGGAGGAGCAGCAAGGGAAGGAAAGAAGAGATTTAGGGTCACTTGCCTCAGTTCTGGGGACCAGAAGCTTCTGGGTCCCATTTCTTCACACCCTCACCTGCTTTCTCCGGGATCTGGCAGAGGTCAGGGTGGCACCTCTTGTAGATTGGACTGTAGGAGTCAAAGCCAGGTCTGTGGTTGGCACAGTACCGTGGACCTCTGCAGGCAGCACAGATAGAATCGTGAGAGCTCATTCCTCTTGCTCATCCTCTAATGTGGATCCTGCCTCTGAGTGAAAGGAGGAAAAAAAAGGAAAGGATAAGTCATTGACCCTCATACTCTCATAGACCACTCAGACATTGTGAGCTTAAAATTGGAAGGAAAAGAAATTCTGAAGTCTCAGGATATAGGCTTTTAAAATAAATGGGCAGGAAAGAAAGAGGAGAATGCCCAGAATTACTGGCATTTAACCCCAGAAGAGAAGAAGGGGTTGCTAAGTGGCCTCTTGGTGGCACTTAGGGGATGGAATTCCATGCTGATCTGAAACAGTGGGTGGCAGGGTGGGTAAGAAAGAAGGACAGGGCTTTTCTGTTGCTTCTTGGCTCTGACCTATGTCTTTCCTGTGGTAAACCTGAAATCAGATTGGCCTTGGACATGTCCAATAAAACAGGTGGGAAACGCCCTGCTACCACGAACAGTGACATAGCCAACCACAACATGGTGTCTGAGGTCCCTCCAGAGCGGCCCAATGTCCGGGTAAGTCCAACCCTCGGGGCACCGTGTTGGACAGGAAATGGCTTCAGTGCAGGTTAGTGGTATCTGAGGGACTCCTAGGAAACCCTCCTCTGCCCTGCTCATTCTGCAGGCAGGTGAGGTGGCCCCGGAAGTGAATGCAGAATGGAAAGGGATGAGGCCTCACACTGAACCTCACAGAAGACCAGCATCTAGACCTGGGCTTCCCGTCCTCTCAGCCCTGTTAGCATTTGAGGATGGGCAGTTCTTGGTGGTGCTGGTCTGCATTGTCCAGTGTAGGATGTCTGGCAGCATCCCTGACCTCTGCCCACTAAATGCCAATAGGACTTCCACTTCCAGTTATGACCGCCAGCCCTGTTCTCATGGAGGTCCACTGATCTAGGGGACAGCAAAAAAAGACTCCTATGGAGGCCACAGTGACCTCAGGAGGAGGCAACACAGGGAAGAATGTTATAAGAGGTGCAGCAGGATCAGGGCTGAAAGTGTTTTGGGTTTTGTGACAGTATGGCACCTGAAAGACAAGCCAGAGAGGGTTAAAGAGGGGGTAGAGGGAAGAGTAAAACCTTCTGTTCTTAGAAATTAGGCACCGATGGTTATACATTCATATAATGGAGTGTTCTCCAAAAATTAAAACAAACTAGCTTTGTATGGCATCTTGAAAACATGATTCTGCAAGTTTCAGAATATGAAAACTATATCACTTATGTAAAATGCACAAACATGAAGAGCAGTACTCCCTATTTATAGAAGCATCTGCAGTAGGAGTGTCCAACCATGGGCAGGGAGGCTAATTTTGGGTCAGTGGTTGCCTCTAGGGGAGAGAAAGGTAGGGAAGAGAAAGGTAATGGTGTTGGGGAGGGCCTCAAAGGGGTTTTCGTGCCTTGTCTTACAAGGGAGAAAAACCAGGCAAAGAAATGATTATTATATTCTTCTATGCTTTTCTGAAATGTCTGAAATAGTTCAAGAAGGTATTTTTTAAAAAAAACTTATTTTTATTTTTTAAATAGTGTGTAGTAATTGCATATATTCATGGGGTTTGGTGTGATAGTTCAACAGGCACATACAGCCTACACCGATCAAATCAGGCAATCAGCATTTCCCTCTCCTTATCGTATCTTTGTGGTTGGAGCCTCTGATCTCCTCTCATCTAGGTCTTCGTAAAATTCGTAGCGGTTATTGAGGGCTATAGTCAGACCGTGAAGGAAGATGGTGTGTGTGTGTGTGTGTGTGTGTGTGTGTGTGTGTGTGTGTGTGTGTGTGTGTGTGAGAGAGGGGGGGTGCTGGAAACTACATTTGCAAGACAGACAGGTTTGTGGGTTAGCTGGAGGCATGAGGGGAATGATCAGTAGCTGGGTTCAGGAGAGCATGATGGCTGTCCACATTTCGGTGGAGACAGGAGTCAGATGCTGTACTCTTACCTTGGGTGGGAAAGTGGCGCCTCTTCCTGAGATGCATTAAAATAGAAGAAAAAAACGATAGGTGAAGTTGAGGTGGGTGTCTTGGAAATGGAAGACATCCCCACCTGTGTCCTTGACGTTGGCAGGAAGGGAGCGGGTGTAAAATATTCTGTGGTGAGGGGGGCTAGGTAGGGTGTAGTTGGGGAAAGAGGATGGTAGCCAGCAAGGGACACATGAAATATTACCTGTAATATCCAAGGTGTAGCTTGCAAGCTATGGTGGGGCAGTGAGGGGACAGCAGGGGACAGAGAAGTGAGATGAACATGATACCCTGAAAGCAGAGGGGATGACTTCATTCAGGACTTGCATACACTTGGGGAGATGATGACTTCTCGAGATGGTGATTCTCAGCCAGTATCTGTTGGATTTTTTTTTTTTTTTTTTACTAGTAATGTCCAGAAAACAATTTTATTTCCTAGCTGTGGAGGTGCTTTCCAGGACAGCTGAACTTCTTTGCTTTTTTCTGCATTTACTAAGTATTCAGTATGGCTGGCTTCGGTGACAAAACGGATGAGCAAAACGCAGTTCCTCCCCAAGAAGAGCACATGGTGTAGTGAAGGAGACAGAAGCGGTAGACTGCACAGATGTGCAGAGGGCAGGGCCGCTGACTGCTAAGGGATATCAGGGAGGCTTCAAGGAGGAGGGGACGTCTATGCTGTACTTTGAGGGATGAGCTGGGAGTTGTGGGTGGACAGAGGCAGATGCGCTCCCCAGGGAGGGAGCACGGCCAGCAGAGGTACAGAGAGGAAGAGAAGCTGGGCGAGGGCGGAGTGGCAGATCTTCTAGACCTGCCCTTGTGTGGGGTGCTGAGGACTCAGAACTCTCCTCAGTGATGAAAGCCAGTAAGAACTTTTAAGCAAGAGAGAGACATGGTTAGAGTGTGCTTTACCAAATCACCTTAGTTCATTGCCCAGGAAGGACGGCAAGAAGAGATGAGGACCTGCAAGGAAACCACAGTAGGATCTGAGAGGATAGAGCAGATCTGAGCCATCTTAAGAAGGTAAACTCGAGCTGGGTGTGTAGTGCAGTAGTAAAGCACTTGCCTAGCATGTACAAGGCCGTAGGTTCCATCCCCGGCACCACAAAACAAACAGACGAACCAAAAAAAAAAAAAAATGCAAAATAATGAAACTTCAGCTGAAGTCCACCAAGTCAGAGCAGAAAGAAAGACTGAGAAGGAGCAGCCAGCAGGGGAGGTTTCGAAAGGAAAACAATAGTGCGAGTCAGAGAGGATGGAGAGTTAATATTGCTGGAGCGTTAGTGGCTCAAGGACTGAGCGGGCTTACCCAATGCGGTGGCAAGAGCCATGTCAAGATGAAGGAGAGGAGGTTTTGGAGTCGGGGGAGGACGAGAAGGGGGCCCTTCCCAGTAGCTTCCCCTGAAGAGAGGGGGAGGTAGGTAGCTCTGCTTTAGTTGGGCAGAGGGTGTGGAAGTGTGGGAGAGACAGACAGACAGACAGGCTGGAGAGTGCTAGCTGGGGAGAAGCAGCCACTGGTGAAGGGCACATTGAAGACAGATTTCAGAGGAGACGTCAGTGAAGCAAAGTCTCAAAAGCGATCTCAGGTCAAACGTGTTATCCTTGGAAAGGAGGGTGACACTTCTGGCATTGAGGGAAAGAGGCAAAGATAGCAGCTGAGGGATGTAATTTTCTAGGTAAAAGGGTGTGAAATTGAGGAAATGTGTGTCTGATAACTTCGGTTTCCTCTGTGGAGACACTGGGTCTCCTTGGGGCGGGGAGAGGCTGGGGAGGTCGGAGGATGGGGCGGGGTGGGGTGGAGCTGCTGTCTGGGCTCAGCCCGCTGGGGTTGGGAGCCGTAGGTCTGCAGTGACCTCATCGGTGCTGCAATGTGACTTTTTTTTTCCTCAAGCAGCACCATGTTCTGGCTGTGAGCACAGAGAGGGTGGATGATTTGATTAAGTTGGAATATTGGGTTTCAGAGAAAATGAAACAAAGACAATGAATGGGGTTTTGAGTCTGTCTTTGGACGAGAATAACTAGAACCGGGAAGCAGCTGCTGGATCCAGAAAGAAAGGCAGGGGCTGGGGATTTAGCTCAGCGGCAAAAGCGCCTGCCTGGCAGGCACAAGGTCGTGAGTTCGGTTCCTGGTACCGGAGAAAAACCAAAAACAAAAATCAAAACAGAAAGAAAGGCAAGGGTTTAGGAGTGAGGGATCTCGATGGAGTAGAAAAATAGTGAAGCTGAGTGATGATGGAGGGAGGAAGCCCAAAGGATAAAACGATGATCAGAAGTGGGGATTCTGGGATCGAAAGTTTTGTGAGGTGGTGGGTGCTGATGGGCTAAGCGGTGGCCCTGGCAGTGAGTAGCTGAGTGGGAAGGAAGGGTTTGGAGTGGAGGACGTCAGCGTCATATAAAGTTAGGACACTGGATGGGTCACTGTCACAAGACAGTGTCTTGGACTCACACAGAGATTCCATGATTAATAATGAAGACAGTGGCTGATACTGGAAGGCTTAGACCCTAAAAGAATGGTCTAGAAGCTGACTGATGAGAAGGGAGGTCAGGCAGTGGTGCTTCGAGGAAGACAGACTTGTGCCAGAACAGGGAAGAATGGCGTTGTCTGTGCGGCACGGAGGAGCTGCTGTGCTGTGCAGAAGACTGAGTAGGACTCAGAGAGGACATGAGGTAGGTGCTTCACTTACAGATGCCTGGATTCCCGGAAGTGTTGTGTAAAAATGCGCAGGACGGAGAACAGAGGAAATCTAGGCTGGGAGTGAAATGAGAAATCTTATTTTCTCCTAAAAAGAAAAGAAAAGAAAACCTGATAGGTAGTGCTATTTTTTTGAGGCCCATTTTAGAGATGAGAGAAGGAGGCAAAGAATCAAAAAGCCGTAAGAGTTAGTAACATATTCTAGGTTCACACCCGGGCTTCAGCGTGAGAGAACCAAGGGCAAACTAGAGAGATGCCGCTCCGCCTGGGGATGGGCTCAGTGGTACAGCACTGGTGTACGTGAGGCCCTGGGATCCATCCCCAGCATGGGAGAGAGAGAAAGAGAGAGGGAGGAGAAAGAATGAGAAGTACAATTCCTAGGTAGCTCCCTGGCAGATAGAGCAGAAGGGAGGAAGGGAATGAAGCAGGGCCAGCTTCTCTGTCTGCCTCTCTAGGCGGCTCGGACATCCCGCAAAGCCATCGCTTTTGGCAAGCGCGCACACTCCATGAAGCGGAACCCCAACACCCCTGTCACCAAGGCAGGCTGGCTCTTCAAACAGGTGAGGCCACCCTGCCACTCCTCCCACCACAATCACCTCCCTGCTCTAGCTTTGTGCCTCTCCAGTGTTTATGGCAGAGCATGTATTTTTTGGTGTGTCCTCCCACTGTCTCTGTGAATGAGCGTCCTTGTCATGTAAAGGCTCACAAAAGTGGAGTATTTTCCCAATCACACAGAATAATTACTGTTGCAGATGTGGGAGTCCTGGCGGAGTTTCTAAGGGGCAAATGCAATGATTTTGAAATGGTGCTGGATCACCAGCCCTGTCAAACCAACCCACTAGCTCATTCTTTACAGGTCCCTCTTGCTGTGGTGGGGGTTGGGTGTCTCCTTCACACCTGGGGTCCACCAGCTCACTCCAGGTTAACCTTGCCACGTCCTTGCCTGCCCTTCTGCTCACTCATTCTGGCTCATCTCTTGTTCCGGAGCCTCATGGTGACAGAACACGAAGGTCAAGGGCAATAATCTCCTGTAAGTTGCTTGCATCTGAGCTCCCAGGTTGGGGATGATGCTGCCGTGTGCTGGCGGCATGGTTTTAACTGCAGGTCAGACGTGTGTGTAATTGGGGCAGTACTGCCTTCATCATACCGCACCCCTCCTGCACATGCAGCTCCCAGCCGCTCACACCTGTCTCCCCATGTGCTCTGCAGGCCAGCTCTGGGGTGAGGCAATGGAACAAGCGCTGGTTCGTGCTGGTGGACCGCTGCCTCTTCTACTACAAAGGTGAGCTTGCCTGGGGCCACCATGCCTTCTCATCCTGCCTTGGCACTGGGCCCTTCTTGGACTGGGCATCGCTAGAGAGGTCTCTCCATATGGTTCCTGGCATCAGTGGGGTATGGCACTCACTCACACAGTCACTCATTCATTCAGTTGCAAGTCAGCAATGTTGGTTGATGCCTACAAGGTATCGGGTGGAGTTGTGGGTCCTGGCTGGTGACACTGGGTGGACAAAGGAGATAGGAAGGAGAGGAAAAGCCTAAAGAGGAGGAGGCCAGTAGTTACTTAGGAGAAGTCACCTACAGCTCGAGGCTTGGATGTTAATCTCCTATCCCACTGGAGTGTACAGTCGTCCCCAAAGGCGGTTTTTGCCAGTTTTGTTCACTGTACCCAAGAGCATATACAGTGTGCAGTGGATATACAGTTGACCCTGAATAAGTGAATAACACCTCCACCCACTCCACACTCCCGTACTCACCCCTAGTCCCTCCCATTCCCCTCCCCAAGGAGAAGGGCAAGATCAGATAACTGGTGCAGCCTCCTCTCGGAAGTCATTGTAAATTGCGCACAGTGGTGTGTGTTCAGGAGGCACAGAGGGCAGGAGCAAGCGCTGTTGACAGTACTGGTGACCTCCTGGCAGACCCTGGGGCGGGAGGAAGAGGTGTGGGGCACAAGGAGAGACAGGGTGCAATGATCTAGAAGCAAGAGAAGCTGTTTGCTCCACTTCCTTGCCCCGGGAGGGTGGAGCCCTGCTTTGCTCAGGCCTCCTCAGAGCAATTTGGTGAATCATTAACTTTGACAAATAAAGGTTGTACCTGGTGGACCCCTCTGAGCGCCTGCTGTTCCTGGGCCCTTAATTGGGGACAGCTGACTCCTAAGGAGAGAAGTCAGGAAGGGGCTGAGGATGCGGGGCAGGTGTGGAGGAAAGCCCAAGCCTGGAGGAGGAAAATCTGCCCGGACCTAGGTGCTGAGCCTGGGAAGCTCCACTGTCCTGGAGCCAGGGTGGGAGCAGAGGAGAGGAAGCCTGGTGCCTGCAGTAGAGGAGCAAGATATACTGCAAAGACGGTCTCTGTCCACCCCACGGTGGCCTTGGAACAACCCTCGTCTTAGTACCTTTCCTGTTGCTGGGCAATTAATTTATCAAGGAGTGAGGTTTGTTTTGGCCTCTAGTCCTGGAGGCTGGGAGAGCCCAGAGCATGGCTCTGGCTGCTTGCTTGGCCTCTGGGGGGCCTCGGAAGCAGAAGGACAAGTAGGTGTGCACGGAAGAAATAAAAGCCAAGGGTAGTGTTGCTTTATAATGGTCTGCCCTGGAGGAGCCGCTTGGTGAGAAGGACTTCATACCTCTTTAAACCTGCCGCCTCTGACCACCATCACTTTGGGAGTCAGATTTCAGTATGAGGTTTTCATCCACATCACAGTGGCACCCCCCGAACACTGACCTGTACCCTACCAGCCAGGGCACCATTTTTTCTCAAGGAGGTCAGCCCCAAAACAGGGCTTTCAGAGTCCCTAGCCCAGGAAACAAAGAGCAAGCCCAGAGGAAAAGTGAGAGTCTTTCTGGGCCACATGCTTGTCCCCCACCTGTCCCACAAAGCACCCTGTCCTGTGTGGCTTCCCACCAGGACAAAGACAGCTGGGCTGACTGGCTAATCCTTCAGGATGAATTATGTGACAGTCCAGTTGTTAGCTGGACCTGGGACACAGGACACGCTTTCCTGAGGAAGAGCAGCGGCCTCAGAGGTTCTGCAGCAGGCAGCTGGGTAACTCAGAGGAGCCAGGGAGTGGAAGGACGGCGGGTGTCCTCGCCCATGTTCCTTCCCATCCCCTTGTGGCAAGTGTCCTGGCTGGAATTGTCCCATCTAAGGACCGGGGATATAGCTCAGTGGCATAAGCGCCTGCCTGGCAGATGCAAAGTCCTGAGTTTGATTCCTGGTACCAAAAGACAAAACAAAACAAAAACAAAAACATGGAATTGTCCCATCTAATAGATAGGATAGGAGAGAGGACAGAGGTCAAGAAGACTAGCTTTGGGGTCATGCTTCGTGGGTATGAAGACCATTTCCACTACTGACTACTTAAGGGTCCGTGGGCAAATTCCTTAGCCTCTCTGCCTCTTCAGTTCCTTAACATGGGGGTAGTAACAGTACCTCCTCACGGGGTAGGTGGGAGAGTTGAGTCCAGTAAGACGTTTGACTTATACCAGGGTCTGACCCAAGGTGAAGACTCCCAAAATGTCAGCTGTGACTGTATTTGTGCATTAGAACATAAAAACCTGGCGGGGGGTTTAGCACTTCTCTCTTCATGACATCCCTCCAGTCCAGTGTCTGAAACAGCATCCACAGGAACCCCCCCCCAGCAACTCCAGGAGTATGTATGTGGCCCTGGTGTGCAAGCAGCAGTAGGTGGCCCCAGGAATTCACACCTGCATACCCTCTGTGCGTCTGTCCCTGGCAGATGAGAAGGAGGAGAGCGTCCTGGGCAGCATTCCCCTCCTGAGCTTCCGGGTCGCAGCTGTTCAGCCCTCAGACAACATCAGCCGGAAGCACACATTTAAGGTCAGTTGGGCCTCCTCCCTGGGGTCACATGCAGGGAACCTGCTCTTCTAGACATGAGGGGATGGAGAAGGGTCAAGGGCATCTCCCTGAGGAATCCCAAGTGGCAGATGAGGAGAGGGAATAGGCACTGGCCCCTGGGCTCGGTGTGGGTTACTGTGAGGCTAAGGTGAGGCTGTGATGGGTCCCCTCCTCTTCTTTCAGGGGTCTCCTGAGAACCCCAAGGTTGGTGGGGGGCACCCCAAGGTGCCTCAATAGTGCCATGTTTTTTGCTGGGGAAGAAAGTTATGTCCTAAGTGTTGGGCCTCCTGCCCAGTGATCTGCCCCCCGGGAGGTCTCTCTTGGCAAAGGCAGGGCTGTGGCTAGTGAGGTTCTGAGATCTTTTGGGAAGGGCTTCTCCCCACCTTGGGGTCAAGGAACTTAGAGCCCTGGTGCTCAAATTTCAATCTTTATAGAAAATTAGGAGTTGAATTTCATTCCAGTCTGAGCTGCAAACTTTATATAGACAACAATTTGAGAGAACAGTGCCCAGGAAAGTGGGACTCGCTGCCGGCTCAGTGCCACTCCCTCTGCAGCCCCAGGGGACCCGCCAGGCGAAGACCTGCCTGCAGCTGGCTCATCCTAGGCCAGTGTTTTTCCACATTTAAAAATTCATGACCCATTAAAAACTCTAAAAGTCCCATGCCCTTTTTGTGTTTTCTGATGCAAAAGACATAGGTTTCTTTTTGCTTTCCAAATATATAACGTCAACTATGCATTTTCTTAGGACAAAGCCTTCCCTTCCTCCCTCCATCCCTCCCTCAGTTGAGAATTGCTGTCCAAGTCCCTTAAAACCAAAGCTGTGGTGTTAGATGATAGAACCGTCAAGTCATACCAGGCCAGAAGCTGAGCTTCTAGGATCCTCTGTCCAAATCGGGTCAGCTGGCTCCAGAAAAGAGGTGGGCAGTATACATAGGTCCTGTCACGGTGAACTAGAAGGGGCTCATTTGGCATATAAATAGTTTCCAGCCTCCTGAGGTCTTGTGTGCCAGAGGTGTGAACAGAATGAGCAATTAATAAAACTCTGACTCCAGGGAGCTGGATTCTAGCTGGGGAAATAGGAACAGGCTGTTTAACCAACAACAAACAGTCCTTCAGTACATAGGTACACTCATACACCTACACGCCATCAAACAGCCTGGCTACCCCTCCCCACCAGACCTATGAGAGAGACACAGCCCAGCTCCGAGCAGGGCCAAATCCCAGTGTCAGATAATCATCTCAGAGTGCTGACACACAGCCCTGTCCCAAAGCCCAGGGATCCTTCCCGGCAGCCCCTCATCTCCAGGGCCCACCTGTCCCTTGTCCTGGTTTGCACTGTCCCTGTAGAACCCAGCTCTGTGGCCCACAAAGGGTTCTGACTGTGACTATTCAGTGGCCCTTCCCCAGGGAAGGGAGGGGAGCTGAGACAGACAGACGGGAGGCTTGTCCTGCTGTGGCCACCAAGCGAAACTCTTGGATGGAGAATAATAAGGAGCTAGGAGCTGTTCTGCCTAGGCTGCCACTGAATGCTTTAACCTCTTCCTAACCCAGCCTATGGAGGCCTGCGCCTGGGGTTGTCCCCTGAATTCTTGGCCCCTTTCACAGTTCCAGGCCAGTGCCCCTCGCTGCTCCCCATCAATAGCCTTATTTTTTCCCAGGCCCTCTGCCTCCCCATCACAAACACATGTTCCTGGGCCTGTGTTTGCGCCTTGTTTCCCATGACGTGTTTTGCCCCAGTATGACTGTGAACTCAAGTACGAGAACGCATCTGGGCCTTTCTTGTGCCTGGTGCCCAAGTGAGCTGTGCACACAGGCTGTTTGCCGGATGCTCGATGAATCAGTGGATTCATTGGCTGCCCACACCCCCCACCCCAGGCCGAGCCTCCTGTCCTGCTCATGTCTCCTGCCCTCTACAATAAGCCTGTGTTTTCCACTAGAGGGCTCACTGGGCACCAGGCTCTGCTCTTGTGCGGTTGCAAGTCCCCCTGGCCTCCTCACAGCTCTGCTGGCTGTCCATCAGCCCCTCCCTGATGCTGGGCCCTCAGCTGGAGAGCAGGGACCAGCCAGCGGGATCCAGAGGAGGGCAGTCCATCCTTGCCCCTTGCTGGGGAAAGGGGAGGTGAGGCAGGCCTGGCTGCAGTTCAGAGAGCCTCATGAAGGCTGGACAGCAAAAGCATCTGAGGGTGTGTGTTGAGGCCATCAGGGAGCTCTAGTCCTCTCCTCCCAACCCTAGACCCCGGTTTTCAGGAAATCAGAGGCCAGAATGAGGCTCACTTCTGAGACAGCATCACATCTGAATCCCTCCTGTTAGATATGATAAACCAGGCTACCTGGTTTTGGGAGATCTAGAGGGTCTAACCTGGAGAGCAGACTGAGGTCCCAAAAAAAGGATGTAGAACTGTGGCCTCTTTTACTTGTAGCCAAAGCACCTTGAGTATCACTGGGCGACCCCCCTCCCCATTGAGTTGATGCATCAGTTAAGGTCACAGTGAAAAAGCAACTTGTCTGCAACAGCGGGACGGTCAATAGCAGAGCGAGGATTAGCGCTGGGGTTCCCTGCCCAGATTCCCACAGTGCCTGCACTCCGTGCCCCACCCCTTGGTGGGCTGAGCAGGGGTGGGCTGCTGTCCGTCCTTCCCCACAGTGACACTGACTAGAAGGGACAGTCTGAGCCCCACCCCCACCCCATGCTTCTCACCGTCTCCTGCCTCATCGTGTGTCTCTCCCTCTGGTGTTGGTTGACCTGTTTCTGCTTTCCCTCCTTCTGACCACGTGAGGACCCCTCCTCCGACAGGAGCTCTCTTCTGGGTTCCCGCTGTGCCTGCTTCCAGCCGCCAACTAGGTAGTGTGCTCCATCTGTGTGCCAGTGTGTGCCCTTGCATGCCTGGGGTAGGGGCTCGGCTGTCTCCCTGCGGGGAGGAGACAGGGCTGGCTTCTGGGCAGTGAAGCTGGGGCTGAGACCCATGGGTGCCTGGGGGCCATCTCCCCCAGACTTCAGGTAATTGCCACATGTGGAATTGGAGGGATGAGTGGGTGCAATAATTGTCCCTCCTGCTTATAATCATCTGAGGTGGGGCAGGTAGGCATGCCTGGCTTCTGGGTGGCCTAGTAACATTCAAAGACCTAACCAAGGCAGATACATGGATGCCAGCTGGAGCCTGTGGGTTGGGCGTGGATTGTTCTTTGGTGCTGAGCTCTAGCTGCAGGAGAGCTGTAGGCCCAAGAAGGGCCCGACTGACTTCCTCCCCGTGGGTGTTTGTCTTCTCTTGCTACAGGTGACTGTGTGCTGGGTGGATGAGGCCAGGGCCAGTTCCACGCACTGCCTCTCCCCGCAGGCCGAGCATGCTGGTGTCCGTACCTACTTCTTCAGTGCTGAGAGCCCCGAGGAGCAGGAGGCCTGGATCCAGGCCATGGGGGAGGCTGCCCGGGTACAGATCCCTCCAGCCCAGAAGTCCGCGTCCCAGCCTGTGCGTCACAGGTGAGTGCCATTGCACCTGGCGTGGGAGGGAGGAGAGGGGTGCTATTGCTGAGCGCAAGGTGCTGCCACAAACCTTTGGGGAGCTTGGAATTGTCTCTTTGCATTCAAGCGGGGGCCTGGGTAGGGGACTGCAGAGCCCCAGGTCTCTATTGCCCTTCCGGGCTCTTCCTCTTCTCTCTGAGCAGAGGAAAGCAACAGAGAAGCCAAGTTCCTTCCTGCCAGCCTGGGGCCAAGAGTCAGTGCTCACTGCTTTTGGCCCTGTGTGTTAAAGATACAGCCTTTGGAGGAAGGTTTGCATTGCAGTGTGGCCTCTTGGCTGTAGTATGACCTTGATTAAGTGACTTACTCTCTCAGATCTTGAGCTTTCTTTCCTCCAAACCACTCCTATCGCACAGGGCTGTTGTGAGGACTGTACTGTGTGTGTAAAGCACTTGACATGTAGCAGACATGCAGCATATGGCTGCTCTCAGCACCTGCCATCTCCACGGTCTCAGTGCCTATCTCTCCTTCAGCTGAGTATGGAGCCTTGAGTTAGGTGTTAATGGGGATCCAGAAGAGGGGGGTTTGCAATGTAGATTCCAAGTATAACCATGTGTCTTAGAAATGTTTATCCAGCAGTGTTTCCACAGGGAAGCCTGAATCGAGCAACCTCGAGAAGCTATAGGGAGAAAATTGTCACAAGGCTCCAACTTGTACACTTCCAGTTCACTTGAAGGCTGGGATGCAGCGGGGCACCTGCCTAGCCCGTACAAAGCCCTGGGTTCCAGCACTGCAAAACAAATAAGGAAAGAACACAAGTTCACTATTCATTTCACAATTTATTCATTTATTTTTATTTTTGCAATATTGAACCCATGGCCTTCACACTAAGCTACATCCTAATACCACCCCCTGTTGGAGATAGGGTCTCACTAAGTTGCTAAGTTATCCAGGCTGGGTACAAGCTTGTGATCCTTCTGCTTTAGCTTCCTAGAAGCTTGTGCCATCGTGCCCAGATTTTTATTTGACAAATACTTCCTGTGGTTATAAATGTGCAAGGTCCTATACCAAGTGCTAGGAATACAAGGGAGTACAGGCTACTGTGTCCTGTCCTCCTGGGGCCTGCATTCTGATGGAAAGGCGTGTGTGTGTGTGTGTGTGTGTGTGTGTGTGTGTGTGTGTGTGTGGCTCATTCTGCCAGTGAGGAGCCTGCAGCTTGGGGAGATAAGAAGCTTTCTGTAGGAGAGAAAGTAAGCCTGTAGCCAGCCTCTGTAGCTAAGCACAGTTAGTGCCATGAAACTTCATTATAGCACTGACTAAGTCAGGATTGAGGAAGGATAACGGAGGTGACCAGGACCAAATGAGGTTAGTCTTGGCCATAGCTGAAGGCCAGGCTCAACATGGGCAGCGCAGAGAGTGGTGCATGACCTGAGAAGAAGACCTGGAGGGCAGGACCGTCCTGGCCTGCGTGGGCAGGACTATCACATGTTGTGCAGTAATTGCCCAGCCTGGAGCAAGGAGGTAAAGCCTGGGATTTAGGAAGAAGGGTCGGAAGTGGCTGCACTGTGGTTCCGTCCCTACCCCCTGCCCATGCCTCTCCACTCCTTTTCTCCTTCCCAGTCTGCTACCCTCCACCCACCTCCATGACGGGCTGGAGTCACTTACAAATCTCCCTTGGCTCCCTACAGCCACGAGAAGCCAGACTCCGAGAACATCCCACCCAGCAAAGCCCCCCACCAGCCACCTCACAACAGTCTCCCCAAGCCCGAGCTAGAGCCCAAGACTCGAGGGGAGGGTGATGGCCGAGGCTGCGAGAAGGTGGAGCGGAAACCTGAAAGGCCTGAAGTCAAGAAGGAGCCTCTGGTGAAAGCCAATGGCATTCCAGCTGGACCCGAGCCAGGCTCAGAGCCTGGCAGCCCTTACCCCGAGGGCCCAAGGGTGCCAGGGGGTGGGGAGCAGCCAGCTCAACCCAATGGCTGGCAGTACAGCTCCCCAAGCCGACCCGGAAGCACGGCTTTCCCACCTCAGGATGGAGAGAATGCAGGGCACCGGCGGAGCTTCCCGCCACGCACGAACCCTGACAAAATCGCCCAGCGCAAGAGTTCCATGAACCAGCTGCAGCAGTGGGTAAACCTGCGCCGAGGGGTGCCGCCGCCTGAAGACCTTCGGAGGTGAGGCCTGACTGGGTGGGGGTGGGGTTAGGTCGGTCTTAGGGCCAGGGCCTAGGAAGGGGTTACAACTGTGACTTATCCCCTATTGGGAACCTTCTGGAAGCCAGGGTAAGCTGGGAAACCAAGATAATGCCATGATCCCCAGCTTGCCCAAATCCTTTCCCACATCATGGTTCCATCTTTAGAGTTTGTCCATTGACCCTGCTTCTTGCTTTCTCTGCTTTCTTCCAAAAAGAGCACCCCAGCACCTCTCCATAGGGTGACGGAGAACCCAGGAATCTGGCAGGTTTGGGGAGGGCCTCAAAGTTGTTCTGGTCTGACATTTGTCCATTTTGTGGATGCTTCATCATTTTTTTTTTCTGTCTTTTTTAGACAAGGTCTTGCTATGCAGTTCAGACAGGCCTTGAGCTCATTTTGTAGCGCAGGCTGGTCTCAAACTCATGATGATCCTCCTGCCTCAGCCTCCTGAGTGCTGGGATTACAGGCGTGTGCCACCATGCTGGGCAATGCTCCATCATCTTGTCTGGTGTCACTGCCAACACTAGATGCACTGGATACCAAGCCCACTCTCTTTATTTTTGAATAGTCCTGTTATTTGAAAGCCATTATTTGTAGGAAATTTTTTATTTGCTTGAATTTTTGAAACAGTCTCACTGTGCAGTCCAGACTAACCTTATATTTGCAATCCTCCTGCCTCAGCCTCCCAAGTGCTCAGATTACAGGTGTGGGCCACAATACACATAGCTGGAAGTTTTATGGGGTTTTCATTTAAAAAAAAAAAAAAGGCAACTCAGTCCTAATACTGTCTTCCATGACCAGGGTACTCCTCCATTTAATGACTGGCTTTCAACATTTGGGGACATTTGTTAGGCCTAATAGTGTTTCTTGGGAAAAATGAGCTGACCAGCTCCTTCCCTGGGGGCTCGAGGAGCTACATTTCCAGCCTCATGTCACCGGGGCTTGGGAGAGATCCGCCCTCTAGTGGCTGATCTGCAGCTCACCAATGGTGGCCCAGCACCCCCAGGATCACAGGCCCTCTGGACAAGTCACAGGAAGCTGTTGGTGCTTCTTGACAGGGCTCATGCAGTCAGGAAACTGCCCATTTCTCCCTTCTCTGCTGCCCAGCACGTGCCCAGCACACTTGGGGTTCTTTCTTCTCTTGCCTCCCGTGGAAAGAATCTGATAGATTGGTTCACACTCAGATGGAGACGGCTAACAAGGCTTACAGTTCCCTTCCAGGGGCATTTCATTTTAAAGAGACAAAGATGAAGCTCTGTGGTGCTGTTTCCAGTTGCAAGGAGCTCTGAAGGAGGGGCTTTCCCTCACCCTGGAGTAAACCTCAGGGCCTGCCTGGGCACAGATCTTCCGTGTGCTCCACAGCCTGGAGCCCATTCACCTGTTCAGTGCCTGCTGTCCCCGGAGGACGTGGAGGTGGGGCTGGGGCACGGTGGATGGATAGAGAAGTGCGTGCTGTATCTGCTTTCCTTACACTGTCTTCTCTCTTTCAGCCCCTCGAGGTTCTACCCAGTGTCCCGCCGAGTCCCTGACTATTATGGCCCCTACCCCTCTCAGTATCCTGATGATTACCAGTACTACCCACCAGGGGTGCGACCCGACAGCATCTGCTCCATGCCCGCCTACGATCGGATTAGCCCTCCCTGGGCCCTGGAGGACAAGCGCCATTCCTTCCGCAATGGGGGCAGCCCTGCCTACCAGCTGCGCGAGTGGAAGGAGCCTGCAGGCTACGGACGGCAGGATGGCACCGTCTGGATCCCCAGCCCCTCCCGGCAGCCAGTCTACTACGATGAGCTGGATGCCGCCTCCAGCTCCCTGCGCCGCCTGTCCTTGCAGCCCCGTTCCCACTCTGTGCCCCGCTCACCCAGCCAAGGCTCCTACAGCCGCGCCCGCATCTACTCCCCGGTCCGCTCACCCAGTGCCCGCTTTGAGCGGCTGCCACCTCACAGCGAGGACATCTATGCTGACCCTGCCGCCTATGTGATGAGGCGTTCCATCAGCTCCCCCAAGGTGAGCCACCTGCCTGCCCTCCTTCCTCATCCCCCAGGACCACGTGGTGAGAAGAGGTGGTGATGCTGGGGCATGTGGGACATGAGCCACTGGCTGTATGTCACAGGACTGGTGATCTACCCAGGGCAGCCACTGGCCTGCCATTGCATCCCTAGGAGAGCTGTTTGGGGGACTGTGTCCTGAGTAGGAACCTTGCTCTCTGTGCTCATCTCCAAGTTGTGCAGGAACTGTCCTATCTACAAGAGGGCAGAGAGGGTCTGTCTTTTCCAATCTTGAGGACTTGGACCAGTTATTGCACGGGGAGCTACCGTCCATATTCATTTGAAATCTACTCTGGGATAGGATACAGACATCCCTAACCTTGAACTGCAGCTGGTGGGGAAGTCCATGTCCTAGCCGGACCCTCTCACTTCTGCAATCCCCTTTCTCTTCCAGTATGATTACCTGGGAGACAGGCGACCAGTCCCTGCAGGACTGTTCCCCTACAACTACCCACCATCCCCCACGGTCCACGATAAGATGGTACGTCCTCTCCTCCGCTCCGCTCTGCCTCAGGACCTCTCCTCCTTGCCTCTGCCAAAGGCAGAGCTGAACAAGGGTACCCTGTGCCCAGTGCCTGGCCTCTTTTTAAGCAGCCTCTGGATACCTCCTCCCTCCTGGCCAGGCCTCTAGCCCCAGTACAGTGTTCTGTGCCAGGGCAGAGGAGAGGGACGAGATATGAGAGTGTAATGTCCTGATCTTGCCAACCTCAGCATAGCTCTACTCTCCAGCATGCAGGAGAAGGGGCCAGGACAAGGGGTCCTGGACTGTGAACTGGGCACAGAGTCAGCCTAGGACTCCTAGCAACAGGCAAGAGCTTCTAGAGTTTTCCTCCCCAAGCATATTTGCTTCAAGTTTATCCTTTGCCTGGAATGTAACCTTTGGGGACAGAGACAAGTGGTGTGATTGAAAGAGGAGAGATTTTCCATATTGTACTCTCCCAGGAATGTGTTCCCCTGAGGATTGTCATCTCCACCTGGACCACTAGGTGCTGATGCTCCATTTGAGCGGGATGAAGGGAGTCCCACAGGCCAGATCTTTGTCCCACAGGCAGCACCAGGAGGCCAGGGTGGAGGAGGCCTCCATCCACCCCATCTCCATTCTCACCTTGCCAGTGTCCAAACTCTATAGCCTTGACCCACATTAAATGTAGCCCTCCAGAAACAGTGGATTTTTCTAGAAAACTTAGAAACAGCTGCTAAGAAGTGCTGATTCGATTGCTTTGGTGGTGCTCGATGCTCCCAGAGGGCGTGAGGAAGACCTGGGAGAGATGATGGAGTTGGGGCCTGGAATGCATCTCTCCTCCACCTGCCTGGATCCTCACCACCCACTGTCCCCAGAACTCCTCAAGGGTCAAGAGAAGCTTACCCTGGTCCATGCGCAGCTAATTCTTAACTGCTTTGCTTCTTTTTTATTGTTTTCTTTTGTGTGTTCCTGTTTGTTTGTGTTGCTGGTTGGCCCCTTGGCCTCGGGCTCCGGGTAGGATGAACTTTTAGATCTTCAGTTGCAAAGAAACCTAGAGTATTTGGACCAGCAGGTAGGCAGAGCTGGTGCCCCTCACCATCCCACGGCCCTCCTGTCGTGTCTCCCTGCCCCTCCCCAACCCCTCATCCTCCAGCCATTTGATAACCTTTGTTGGTGCTGCCAGGACACAACAAAGTGGCTTATATTTTGTGTTGCTCCTTCTCCCCGCTCCTGTTCATGGCCCTTTTAGGCAGCTGCGGGTTTCCTGGGGAAAGAAGCATTAGAAATGGGCACATGAATAATTAATGCCATCCCAGAGTTCTGCAGTCTTCAGCCCAGATGAAATTGCCCCCAGAGGGCCGTGGGGATTTGCATTTTTGCCAGAGAGAGGAGGGAGTAGTGAGACTGGGGAGAGCTCTGGGTCTGAGCCTCAGATGCTAGGGATTTAGTTCAGCCTGAATCTGGGAAATCATATATTCTGCAGGTTGTTGTTAGACTCTGTCACTGGAGCGCTGAGGCCTGCAGGCCTGCCCTAAAATGATTTAATTCAATGTATTAGTTCCTCGACAAAACTCTTTTGCATATATAACTTATAACCCTGAGAATTCAGTGCAGTAGACAGAGGCAGTGAACTTAACCCAGTCTGAGAGATGAGAAAACTGGACAGTGTCTGGCTGCCCGGGCTCCAGGGTGCAGGGCTCTAACCCTTGGCCACATTGCCTTTTGAGGCTGACGGGGCTGTAACACTCACTTATTTTAGACAGGAAGGAAGGAGGCCAACATGCTGGCACTTCTATACGCACACACTGTTCAGTCCAGGTCTGCTACAGAGTACAAGGGACCTGGAAATACATGATGTTGCCCTGTTGGGCCACCTTGGAGGGTGCGAGTGATAATAGTGGTAATAATGGCAGCAGCACTATAATTCGGTGCTCTCCCTATACCCCATACTATTCTAAGCAAAACAGATCCTCTCGTATTTAATCTTCATAATCTACAAGATGGGTGCTATTATTAGCTCTATTTTATAGCCAAGGAAATAAAGCACAGACACATTAGATAACATGCCAAGGACACGCAGCCGGTGAACAGCAAAGCTTGGAATGCAACTGAAGTTTCAACCTAGTTTACAGCTGAGGAAACATCTGATATGAGACAGCCGGGGTTTAATTTCATTGGGATGATATCATTCTCTTAAAGTTGCAGAAAGAGACGTAAATGGAGATCGGAGGATGCAACTGTATGTTCTAGTCATGAGCCTCACAGTGCCTCTGTGTCTTGATGAGGTCCTCCTGTAGAAGACCTTGGTCCCGGAGGGGAAGCACAGATATCTATAGTTGAGCCCATAGAGGTGGCCCCCCCCCTTGTATTCTTGTTCTAAAAGCACCACATGTGTGTCCACCCCGTGGACATCCGATCCATGTGGAGATGAGTCCCTGGATGACCGTGCTGAGCAGGCTGTGAAGCGCAGGACGGTTCCAGCGGGAAAGCAGGCTTTGTGCCTACAGTGAGGACCTGGCCTCCAGGCTCCTGGCAGGCTGCCCTCCCGGCGGCCATGTGGTTGGCTGTACTCTACTGACCACACCTGTCTGTCTAGGCATTCAGGGCACAGGGGCTGGGCTGTTAGTCCTGGGCTTCAGAAATAACCTCCCCCACATAATATGTAATGAGAGGCAGACTTGTGTGACGAGGACACTCTAGACACTGCCACTCTAATCCTAGCTCTGCCGTTTCCAGGGATTTATAAAAACACATTAGAAATGTCACTGAATCTCTCTGAGTCCTTATTTTCTCAATTGCCAAATGAACACTGTATAGCCTGTCCTTTCCGCCTCATGGACTCAGTGGGAAACTCAGATGGGAAAGTAGCCGGGAGCTTTTCATCAGACTCCACTGGTGAGGAGTGAAGGTTGCTGCTGTTATTGTTTTAATATCTTCCAAAACTCAACAAAATATTGAGCACCACATATTACATTTCAGACACTGGGTTAGGCGCCTGCACACAAAAGTGCTCTGACATCTTAGAGAGACAGAGGTAGCACATAGGAATTCCCCCTAGAGGAGAGACCCATGTGGGTAGAAAGATCCCCAAAACGACATCGCAGGTGAGAGCGGGTCGGGATGAGGACATTCTGCTTCCTGCCTTTGTTGCTGTAGACCGCCTTGTAGGGAGGAATGGGTCAGTGTGTGTCCAGGAAGAGCCTGGGCCTCACTTGTCCTCTCCAGGTGTGACATGTGGGTAGATTGCCTGAGTCCTGTACACACAGCTGTGTGCACGCGTGTGCTGCAAGAAGATATGAGATGGGCTTGAGTTTGGATCTTTAGAGAAAATGTGGTTGATATCCCGGTGGCTTTTTAACTCTTACAGGGACTCAACTTCATATAAATGCATTCTTTTGAAAACCTTTTAAATCATACTTTATGCCAGAGGAAAAATTTTCAAGTAGGCTAAAAAGGTAGAAAACTTAGGTCCTAGAAAAGGCTTGTAAAACACTGCAGACCTGTCAGCTGTGGGTAGAGGGAGCCTTGCCCTACTAAGCACATGGACATGAGGCTGCATTGGGGCCATGACCTAAAGAGCGGGTAAGAGGGAGAGGAGACAGCGGGCCTGGTCAAGAATAGGGGGAACTACGGAAAAGACTGTGATCCCAAGGAATTTCCCGAACGTGGCTGTCCTCCTCCTTTCTGCCACTCCCCAAAATCTTTTCCCACATATCTCTCTCTGTCTCCCACCTTTTGTCATGGAAGAGCAGAGTTAAAGGGACACAGCCAGGACATCCTCTGATAGGCTCACTTCTGATCCTCTCACACCAGAACCACTGGAGGAGACGACAGCATTTCCAGCTGATTTGGTTGGCCTGCCCTTGCCCTCTCCCCTCCCCCACCTCCCTCCTTCTGTCTCTCTGTCTATTTCATTTGGCAAGTAGTCTTTCCCCCTCCATGTTCCTAATGATTCTTGAAATATGCAGGATGACATGGTGGAGAGCGCTGTTCCGATATCTGGTGTCCCTTTAACGTGGCTCGCCTCCTTATTTGCTCCCCAGCACCATCCCAAATCCTCATGGCTGCTGCCAGCCCAGCTCTGGAAACCATTTAGCAATCCTTGTGTACTAGTTAGTGCCTTCGGGCGGTGGGGTGACAGGGGCCTGTTGGCCTGTGCAGGCCGTTTGGAGAGCAGGTCCCAGGTGTCTTTTTCAGTTGTTTCATTTAGTGCAGATTTGGGGAGGTCAGTCTTTGGGCTGGGTGGTCTTTATCCAAAGCAGTGTGAGAAATGGGAAGAAGGGGACAGTCCTGGCCGAGGTGCATGGGGCCACAGCAGTCAGGCACCCTGGGGAAGAGTCTCTGAGCTGGGGGTCTCTTCTAGACCGCAAGTGAGGGCCTAGTGGCCTCCCAGTCACCTGCTATGGCTTTTTCTCCAGGACGGCATCAGCGCTGGTCCTGAGACAGTTAACACAGGGTGAGGGAAGGGTGAGACCAAGCCCAGGTGCTGGAGCCCTGAGAGGAGCTGTCCTCCCCTGTGTCCTGAAGACAAGTGTAGGAGTGTGGTGGAGCTCCCGGGTGCGAGTCTGAGTGTGAATTGTCCATTCCTTCCTCTGCTGCAGATGAGTGAGAGCGAGACTCTCATCAGTATGGTGAACCGCATGGTGGAGAACTCCTCCCCCAGGGCCCAACTCTTCGTGCAAGTAAGACCTCTGCCTGGCAGCATGGTCCCTGTCAACACCATCTCAGCTGCTTGTGCATGGTCAGGTTGCCCCATTCGTGATGAGGCTGCCTCTGCCCAACGTGCTCATCTGCCAGGCCTCATCTCCCCAGAGACAGGCTCAGCCTGCTCTTCCTCCTCTAACTTCACTGTGTCACCTCCATTCTTCATGTTCATGGGGCACCCCAAGGCCCACCTCCTGAACCATCAAATTGGCCAGCACCGACATCTCATGCCATGCTGGGGATTGCAAACCTGCTTTTCGGTGTCCAAGCCTCTGATTCGTATTTGCTGTCTTCTTGACAGACACTGTGGGGTTAAAAAAGCATGAGGGGTAACAGGGAGCCATCCAGTGCCAGCGGTTTGCAGAAGATGCTGCGGTCACTCGCGGTGTCCTCACAGCTAGGCAGCATTAGCTGGACCCAGAGGTGCTTCTGGGTACTCGCCAGTCCTGATTTAGGCACAAACCCTGTGACTTGTGCTTAGTTTACTAGGACAGTGTTCTCCAATATTCCCAGTGCTCGTTCCTCCCTGGTCCTGTGTCCTGACCCTGCAGACAGCCAAAGGTTTTGCTGATATTCTCATGGTTGTTGCCAGTAAGCCCTGCAGCCACTGCAGACCCTGGAGTTCAGGGGAGCGGAGCTACAGAGCATGATTCCAGCAGAGTTCTGATCTCTCCAGATCAGCCAAGGACAATTGAGATGGAATCCAGACTGGGCCATCACAGGCTTTCCAACCTAGGGGACAGAGCATTAGCTCAGGTCCCCAGAACGGAAGACGCAGAGGTGATGGGCCGTGGTGTCTGGCAGAAACAGTCAGCTTGCCTGCCCCTCACACCCTCATCCTGCACCTGCTTCAGTAACCAACCTCATATTCCTGCAGGTCCCTCCGTACCCAGAAGTGTTCCGGGACAGCCTGCACACCTACAAGTTAAACGAGCAAGACACGGATGTAAGGGCAGCTCTCCCTGCTCCTCTGTTCACTGCAGCCTCCTGCTGCCACTGTCTTCATCCTCACTCTCCTCTGTGGGGCTCTTTCTCCTTCTGGTCATGCATTTGACTCGTGTTCTTTCTCACCACGAACACGGCATCCTACCGTCCTGCCCATCCCCTTTCTCTCAATGTTGCACTGACTCACCACCCCCGCCACTGGCCCCATGTGCTTCTCCACTCAACACCAGGCCCCTTGTATACAGCGGTGGGACTGGCTTATAGCAGGAATGCAGGTTTTGTTGGGAGCTGAATCAGGGTGCTGTGTGCCCAGTGTGGCATTAGTCCCTCCAGGTAACCAGGAAGACAAGTGTGGCTTGTTCCTGCCCTCGGGTGGTGCAAGACACCAGGTAACAGTAGGTGGCGACAGAGTCACTTGCTAAATGGGACCACTGAGCATTTCTGCAGGCATGAAAGGAGGTGAGGCCATGTGGGGTGGCAGGTTCGGGACAAAGCAGGTAGCATGTGAGCTGGGCCTTGCAACTAAAAGGCCCAGAGGGTGGGATTTGGCTCAGTAGAAAGCATCGGAGGAATGACACAAGTAAAGGCGTGAATGTGGAAAGCACGTCTTTCTGGAAGAAGTTGTCCTGAACTGCCTCCCTCCCATCACTACTGGCCCGGCTCAGGCCACTGTGCAGCGGGCCTGAGGGGTTCCTGTGGACAGAGGGGCCAGTTCACATCATGCACTGCTGTTTTCTAAGACTGCTTATTCCAACACCTGTCTCCCCACCCCATCAGCAGAGGAGGTGAGATCACATCATCTTCTCAGCCCTCTGTATTAAATTGCACCCCCTCGGGATGGGGATGCAGGAGCCTAATGACAGGCTGTTGGCCCTCTTCTCTCAAGAACTGACCCACATGTCCCCTCCCAAGATGGAGTGTCATCCTCCTCTTCCCAAGCACCTCCAAGGTCATGGTGAAGGCCCGGGCTCCTCAGCAGGGAAGGAAGGTGGTATCCAGAGGCCAGGCCCTGCCATCCCAGTTACCATGGCCCCATCAAACCATGTCCTTCACCCGCTTCTCTCTCCCTCCTCTCCCCTACCCTGGGCCCCCAGAAGCTGCTGGGCAAGTTGTGTGAGCAGAACAAGGTGGTGAGAGAGCAGGACCGGCTGGTGCAGCAGCTCCGAGCAGAGAAGGTGAGCGCTGGGGCGGCCTGCAGGTGGGACTGGCTTGGAGGAGTGTGGGTTGCTGTCTCCAATCACACCTCCCTGACAAAGTTTTGTCCTTCCTTAATTGTCTTACCTAGAACTGCCGAAGGTCTCCCGGGGCCCGCAGGCAATGTGAGGACCACCTCCACTTGGCTGCCTGCTCACACCGTTAGGGGTTTGGGCCTCTGCTGTTAAAAACCCCAGAGGAGTGATCAGGGCAGCTCATGCCGTCCCCCCTGCCTTTCTGCAGGAGAGCCTGGAAAGTGCTTTGATGGGAACCCACCAGGAGCTGGAAATGTTTGGAAGTCAGCCTGCCTACCCAGAGAAGCTGCTGCACAAGAAGGAATCCCTGCAGAACCAGCTCATCAACATCAGGGTGGAGCTGTCTCAGGCAACCACGGTAACCTGGCGCCCGGGTCTGTGTGCCCACTGCCTCCCAGTTCTGCTGCTTTAATCCAGATTCTCCTTGGAGAGCGAAAGCAGAGTGCTCCTGCCCGGGAGGCACACAGGCACAGACCTTAACGTTTCCTTGACAATAGACAGCAAGTATGTGAGCTTCCTTGTTGCAGACAGTCTGCCCCAGGAAATGGGCTTCCTGCCCTCAGACCCAGCTGTGCCGGGTTCCCTTTGATACAGCATGAAGTTGAAGGCTACTGATTTCTTTGGCTGCTCTAGTGCCTCTGCTGCCCACTTACCCACTTCCGTAGAGAAGAAGGCACTGGGAGCGATGCTGCTGCCTTGTTTGTTTCCTGGTGGGTTTGGGGCAGATCCTCCAGTACGACTGGTAATAAGGGCCCTGAGGAGCAGCAGCAAAGGCCGTAAGAAAATGTGGTCCAGAAAAAAAGACAGTCCCTAAACTCCAGAGAATAAACACCTCTTCAGGCCCTTTTCTCTCTGCCCTCGATGGTTGTCCCTGAACCTAGGCCAAAAAGGTACTCTGTACCCCATTTGGCCTGTGCCCGGGCCTAGAAGGATCCAGCTTTCTGCCTTCCTCAGTCTGCAGTGACATGCGCTCTCACCCCTCTTGTAAGGCTAGAATGGCTCAGCCTTGTGCCCCCAGGCTCCTGTTGCAGGACATGGAGGGAGGCTTTGGTGACCATAGCTTTCTCAGTAACCCCCTCCCTGCAGGCGCTGACCAACAGCACCGTGGAGTATGAGAACCTCGAGTCCGAGGTCTCTGCCCTGCATGATGACCTCTGGGAGCAGCTCAATTTGGACATCCAGGTGAAGAAGGGCCCTGAACAGGTGGGGGTGAGACACCTTCCCTGGTCCTTTTGGACAAAGGGGACCAAAGTGGTCTCCTTTCCCACTTTCACAACCTCAGAGCCTTAAGATAAGGAGTTGGTCCTGAGACAGAAGTAAGGCTCAGGCTTCTTAGAACAGACTCTAAGATTTAGGATGAAGGTAATATGGGATTCTTCTTTATTTCCACCAGCTCCGAGGGGGAGGAGCTAAAGCTAAAGCACAGGAGACTTAGGTTACACATAGGTGGGTATTCTAGGCCTGAAAGAAACTGAAAAACAGACATGTAAGTAGAAATACCTTGGAGGAAAAGCAGAAGGGCAGGCAGTGTAACATTTGGACAGGAGTGGGACTTTCCTTCCTGGGATGTGTTGGAAACAGTCGGCCTAAGGCAGGAGATAGCCTAGTGATCTTGGGGAGGTCTTTTCTTCTCCGTCTTTTCTCTCCCAGGCCCTACCTCCTCTCTGGCTAGTTTTGCAAGCCCTGTGTTTCTGATGTATTTAATACCTTGGTTTCCTCACTTTCCTCCTGGTAACAAAACTCTCCTCCCTACCTTGCAGCTGGTTGGCAGGGTCGAGATCTTTTTGATCCAGAGGACCTAGGTGCTACCTTGTCCCATAGGCAGGCCACACTCTCAACACACACATTTTAGGAGATAGGGTCACAGCCAAGAGCATCTAAGTCAAACCCACCCACATCCAGAAGTGGCCAGGTTGGTTTGGTAGTTGGGAACTCGGCTGCCTTTCTGATGGTGATCTCACCGCTTACCAACAATGGTCCTGGGCATACGTCTCCTTGTCTCTGAAGTAGGAACAGCTGCTGTCCTTACCACGTAGTAATGTTGTGCAGCTGGAATGACTTAACACAAGCAAAAGGCTTAGCTTGATGCCTGGTACTGAGAGATGCTGTGTAAGTGGTAGCACTTGTCTTTCACTTGTCTTTTACAGGTGTCACCTGTAATCAAATACAGTTCACGACTTTGGCATATGTTAGGTGCAGGTATTGCAAAGGAGCTGCTTGAATGCAAAGAAAAACTAAACAAGGAGCACTTGCCCCATGCAAAATGGCCACTGCTTAGAGGGGTGTTTACTCTCAAACTGCCCTGATCCCTCTGGGGTAGCTGAGAAAGATGGGCCCTCACGCTTAGTTCTGAGACTCTGACAATGCTGAGAACACAATTTTATACCAGTTGAAGCAGCACAGGGTGCCCAAGAGAAAGACGCCCATGCTGGAGAGGGTAGGTGTGTGCACGCGTGCACGGGGCCAGGGTTCCTGCCTCCTCCTGGTCCAAAGCGATGGCGATGCAAAAAGATCCATGCCAGGACACCCCTCAAAGCCACTTCCTCTGACTTGTTCTTCAACTGTTCAGAATGAGGTGCTCAACCGGCAAATCCAGAAGGAGATCTGGAGGATCCAGGACGTGATGGAGGGGCTGAGGAAGAACAACCCGTCTCGGGGCACAGACACTGCCAAGCACAGAGGTGGGTGCCTCCCCAGCTCCTGGCCTCTCTGGAAATGGCCCAGCCTCCCTCCCACACCTGCCAACTCACACTGTGCTCAGAGCCTGGCAGGTCCTTCTCAGGACCCAGAATCTTCCCTGGACCTAGGGTGGTAAATGGGGCTCCCTTACCACCCACAGAAGAGACCAGGTAGCCCACTCAGAGACTCTGTTGACCTGCATACTCTAAATCTTTACCCCATAAAGGTCAAAGAGCCCCCAAGCCTCCCTGGCCTCTAAGCACCTGTGCCCCTAGTGCCTTCCTTGAGCCTTGGGCCTTTGGGCTGGCCCTCTGACACCTGGGAAGCTGTGTCATCTTCACCCTGCCCGGTGTCGTATCCCCTTGCACAGTGCTCCCCTCAACAGCCAGCCTGTGACCCCAGCACCTACAGTAAGTTCCTTCAGCAAGACCCGTGGCCCTGACGGCTAAATCCGTCTTCTCTCCTCCCTAGATAGGTCTCTCCCCTGCCTCATCCCATGGTACTCACTGACGCATCCTCTTCCGTCCCTTACCTCTTTCCCCTATCTCCTCTGCTTCCCCAAGGAGGACTCGGGCCCTCGGGCACCTACAGCTCCAACAGCCCGGCCAGCCCTCTCAGCTCTGCCAGCCTCACCAGCCCCCTGAGCCCCTTCTCACTGGTGTCTGGCTCTCAGGGGTCCCCCACCAAGCCGGGGTCCAACGAGGTAAGTGGGGAAGTGGAACGCAAGGTGAGTGGGAAGAAGAGCAGATCCTCCTCTGCCTGAAATGATACAGAGGCTGTGCCCATCTCTTCCCCAGAGACTCCAAGTCCTAGCGCTGTGGCTTTTTGTCTAAGGGAGTGGTTCTTGTGCTGGGTTGCAACCCTGCCTCAGGATTCCCCCTATGCCTATTCTCTCCACCTGTCACCTTTGCCTCCTTTTCAGGGGAGGCTCTTGCTGAGCACCAGGATGGTTAGCAAAGAGACCAGACCCTTGATGGCGTTCCAGGGAGGAGAGGGTTGGGAGTTGGTGGGGCAGCAGTTTTCCAGCCACTCAAGTCAGCAGGTATTAGGGGGCTCTCTTACAGGCAAAGGATGGCACGAGGCCCTCAGAGAGACACTCTTGCAGTCCCCCCCGGCCCAGTGTCCAACTCATACTAAGCCAGCAGCCTACTGGACACTGTCCGTATTGTGCGGCAATGTCCAGGCTGTCTGGGCTCCGAGGTTCCAATGGGGGAGAGGGAACTAAAGAAGGGAAACTGAAACTGGGCCTCTCAGCACTCCGGTAGGCAGAGAGGGGAGCACGCGAGCACCTCTGCAGGCAGCGGCGGTGGTGACAGCAAAGGTCCCGGGATGGGAATGCGCCCAGCGTGCAGGGCGCGGGTGCACTGAGGAGTGAGCTCTGGAGGACAGTGGGGAGCTGGGGAGTGGTGGGCAGGTTGGGGCTCGGTGGGAGTGGGGCTTGAAGGCCGGGCAGAGCTCTGCAGGCAGGGGTGGGGATCTGGTGTCCAGGGCCGCCCGGGCCACCTTCCCCGCGATGCTGTCCGTCTCACACTAACACTCTTTTCTCCTGCTCTCACAGTGGCTGCCCTTGTTCCTTCTAACGCTCTGGCTTCTGGCTTCATTCTCTCTGCCTCAGGAGCCTGGCCCACCTCGGCCACCCCTCCCCAAAGCCTACGTCCCCCTGGAGTCTCCTCCCACCGTCCCTCCACTCCCTAGCGAGAGCCGCTTCTGGCCTTACCCCAACTCCCCTTCCTGGCACCGCAGTGGCGAGACAGCCAGGGGTCAGGTACCCAGCACCCTTGGATTCTGGAGGGTTGGGGGAAGGGAAGGGGCAAAGGGCCAGGTGAGGGGGCAGGGCAGGACCCTGGGGTTTTTCTCTCCACTTGTTTTCCCAAAGCTTAGTTTCTATAGGGCTCTCTCCAGTGACCTCAGAGTAAAGAAAGTGGGGCTAACCCAGTCTCCGGCTGTCTTTCCTCCTTTTGCTGTCTGTGGACAATGAGGAAACGCATTGCTATCTAGGCTCACAGGCAGCCACTGGCTCTGGGAGCTGGTGTCCCGCACCACTCCCTAGCAAGGTGGCGACACCCGTCCTGGTACCATTCCAGTCCCTTCCTGTCCCTTACCCACCTGCCTCAGGCCCCAACCCTCATGTCTGCTCTCTGTGCCTCTGCCTTGCCTTGTCCTCTGTGGGTCTCCTGAGCCCTGGAGTATAAGGACGCAGGTCCCCTTCTCCCCTGTTCTGCTTCTTCTCTCACCGAAGATCCAGGCGCTGGGCAGTTAGGCTTAGAAGAGGTTGTGTGGTGAGTAGAGGGTCCTGTGCCTGTACTTAGAAAATGCATACACTGAGGTGGGCTCTGCTGTGTGTGCTTTGTGTAACCCTTCAGGGCTTGCTGGTAAGGTCGGCAGAGCATTGCTAGTATGGGACTTTCCACGCTGTCCAGCTGGGTGAGAGCTGAGCTTTCTGCCTTCTAGCCTGCCCTCCTCTCTATGTTCCCCTTCCCAAGACTTAGATTCTTCAACTATGCAGTGTGAGGAGGTGGCTTAGATGATGTCTGAGGTCCTTTCTGGCCTGATCCTGAGTCCATAGCAAATGCTCTTTCCATTTCCCCACAGTCCTGGCACCAAGACCCACCTGGTTTTGTTTTCTCAAGTCTGGAGTGGGACTCAGACAGAAACCTGAGAATCCCAAGGCCAGTGATGGCAAAACTTTTAGAGACTGAGTACCCAAACTACAAACCAAAAACCACTTATTTATAGCAAAGTGCCAACACTGCAATTAAATCTGAGTACTGAGGTTTTAGTTTAGAAGAAAACAACTCATACACTTGCCTCATATCCCACCAGAGAGGGCTCTGCATGCCCACTGTGTGCCATAGGTTTGCCACTGCTCTAGGCCATTCCTTGATGGGTCATGACAAATCTCAGAGCTTGGTGAGATAATTGGGTGGGTTGGGGGCTTCTGTGGTGGGCCTTGCCTGGATTCCTCCTATAGGCACTGAACTCTCATTCCCCACGACGGCCCAGTATTGGTGCCTGGATACCAGTGCCTCCTTCGGGAGCACATGGAATGTCACTCGCTGTGACTTCAAGGGTTTGAGAAGGGGAGGCAATGAAACGGTCACATTACCGTTATTACTCTAGCATCAGTATCTTCTCATCCTTTCTCCCCAGCCCAAGGCAAGCTATGAGCAGAGCAAGAAAGACCCTCACCAGACATCACCCCTGGACACCCCCAAAGACATCAACCTTCTGCCCACCAGGCAAGAGGTGGAGGCAGAGAAGCAGGCAGCTCTCAACAAAGGTACTTCCTGGCCCATCTTCCCCTGGAAGTAAGGCTGAGGGTCAGAGAAGATTCCTAAGCACTCATTCATGCCCAGAGAGGGTGCTTACCTGCCCTGGGCCATGGCCCTCAGTGGTGAGTGGGAACAAGCCTCTCCGAAGAAGCAAGCTCCCTGCCTCCATGCTCTCCATGATGCCCACTGCTACTCTGTCTCCCTGTAGTTGGCATCGTGCCTCCTCGGACAAAGTCACCCACTGATGAAGAGGTGACCCCTTCAGCAGTGATGAGGAGGACCGCCAATGGACTCACCAATGGGATCTCCTCCCGGGTGAGTCTGTGCCTGCAGGCTCTGGGAGCTCAGACCAGCTTGGGCCAGGCTACGAGCCAGGGCCCATGAGTGTGTCCACCCACCCACCATTAGCACTCCTGACACCCAGCATGAGGGAGGCAGGTAGAATAAGTGAGGTAAAGAGTTCTTCTTCAAGGAAGCATGTCAAAGGACAAGGAAAATGAGCATAATCAATACAGAAATGTACTTAACAAAGTTGTCATCACATGCCACTGGTGAAATACAGTAGAGCGAAAGCAGCAAAAAACTAGTGGCCAGAGTCAAATACGCTGACCCAAGGAATATGAATTTACTGGGTAGTTTCAACAACATACATCTGTTCTGTCAGTTTGAAGGTCTGAAGTCCAAGATCAAGATGTCAGTGAGGTTGGCTCCTTTGGAGACTCAGGGAGAAGTCATTCCATGCCTTTCCCCTAGTTTAGGGTGGTCCCTGGCATCCTTAGCATTCTTTGTCTTATAGACACGATCCAGTCTCCGTCTCCATCTCCATATCAGTTTCTCCTCGGTGTCTTCTCCTTTACTCTGTCTTCTAAGGACAGCTCTAAAGGATTCGGCCCATTTAATTCCGTGATCTTGAGATTTTTAATTAGACCTGCAGAGACCTATTTCCAAATAAGGTGACTAGAGCTATTTGGGGTTAAGGCATGGATGTGTCTTTAGGGGGCTGCTATTGTTTAGTAGCCACAGCCCCAAGTTTCATGCTGATCCCCTCTGCAACATCCATTCCTCCCTTCATCATCGACTCTACCATCTCCTCTTTACCTTAGCTCAGAAGTCTCAGATCTCATCATCTCACCCTGTCCATATGATCCGTCTTGGCGCAGAACTCCTATTTACCAGAGAAACTAGAAAATAAGTCAATCTGCTTCTAAAATACAGTGAGGAGACAAGTATGGGATAGTCATTCCTGTCCTGAAAAGGAGAAACTGGAAGGAATAAGGGATCACCTGTCCCTAGCAAGTTTCACATCTCGCAGGGATGACGCCCTTAGTTTGCGCACGCACCCCAGGCGCTCCTTCACTGAGCTACACCCCTCCCCCACTAGGCTTTAAGGCCGGAGAACAGTCTGCAGCTGGCTGCCCTGCCCCGTGGGTTAGTGAGGGCTGCGTTAGCCCTCGCTGCCAGGCCCCATCTACTTGGCCTCCACTCCTCTAACTACAGCTTTGCTTTCATTCTTTCTTTTTCTTGAAGGTTAGCATGTGTTTATAGGCAGGTAGCTCTATTAGTCTATTTCCTGCCTATAGAATCCCAGAAATCTGACATTTCCTCCTCCATCTTACCTCTTTCTCTTTTACTATGAGCTGGCAGTGATTTTTGCTAATATAACATCCTCAAAAACACCTGTAAGTCTCTTGTGTATTTCAAGGAGATCCATTCCATTAAAGGATTCTCTGCAGATCTTTGCTGCATAGCCTCGTCTCTGTCTCTGTATTCTGAGGTGATTGATTGCGTTTGAATCACATGTCTAATCTCTTCAGTAGGAGGCTGTCCAGCCAGCTCCTTGACTCTTTAGAAGATGCTTTTCTTTTCTTTTTTCTTTTTTATGGTGTTGGCTTTTCTTTTCTTTTAAATTTTGTTTTATTGGAACACATTTGCAGTACATAATGATTGCATTTATTGTGGTGAGGGGTAGGGAATTAGAAGAAGAATGAGGATGTGTTCTGTACATGTAGAGCATACTCTTCCATCAGTGAACTTTCTAATGTGAGAACCTCCCAAAAATTAAAGCATAAGTTTCTTTTAGTTTAACACTTCCTTCAATTTATCTTTTCCATTTTTCTCCACGTGCAAAGAGGAACAGGTCACACCTTCACTGCTTTGCTAAGAAATCTGCTTTCCATTCAATAATAGACTGCAGTTCAGCCAAGTTTCTGCTACTTTCCAATAATGTGCTCCTCATTTTCTTCTAAGACTTTGCCAGAGATAACTTTCACGTCCATTTTTCAGCAGGGTTCAGTGGCACACACGTATAACCCCAGCACTGAGAGAGACTGAGGGAGGAGAATTGCAAGTTTAAAATCTACCTAGCAGCCAGGCATGGTGGCACACACCTGTAATCCCAGTACTCGGGAGGCTGAGGCAGGAGGATCATTGTGAGTTTGAGACCAGCCTGAGCTACAAAGTGAGCTCAAGGCCAGCCTGAACTGCATAGTGAGACTCTGTCTCAAAAAGACAAAAAAACAAAAAACAAAGATTTGCCTAAGCAACTCAG